TACAGACAGCACTAGGGGTGAAACACATCTGGCTATCTGGGGCCAGAGCTATGAATATGCAGCTGGCAAGGAGGTTACCCAGTGAATGCATGATTCATAAACTTTCCCTCCCCTTCCCCTTCCCCTTCCCCCAAAGCTAGAGTGAGGCCAGCTGAAATCAGGAGTGAAAGTGATGCAGGTTTACCTTATGGGGATTTCTGTTTCCTCCCTCCCCCCCATTCAGTCGCAGGACAGTCAAAGGGGAAGGGCCCGGGGGAGGCTGTGGGGGCTCAGGAGAACATGAGTCACGCTACGGAGATAAAAATGACAAATCATGGGCTTGGGGTTAAAAGCGTGCTGCTGTGTTGACTGGATCGGCCCTAAATGTTCCATGTCTTCCAGGATGTTTGGGCTGGTCGGGCTCCCCTCCGGCTCCGCAAAGACATCTTCCATCTGTCAAGGTTGAAGATAGATGATGGCTTCCAATAGCAGCTGTTGGGAGGCTCTTGATACTGATAGGAATGGCTGGACCTAGCACCCATTCTGTGGGGTGTAGTAGGAGGGTTGGGATCCCTTTGAGCCCACTTGGGTCATCACAATTCCTGATGCGGCCTCTGTCTCCTGAGTTTTGAGGGGTACCGGCAAGTCAGTGCCTCTTGCTGGGAAAAGCAAGGTGCGTTCGTGACCCTACAGATCTGCTGTGCAAAGGGGCGGGTTGAGAGGAGTGTCCCAGGCAGAGACAGTGGAAAATGCAGAATTGCAAAATGCAGGACACAAGGATCTGCGGATGGAGCTGCAGGCGGTTTTCTGGGCAGGGACGGTGGAACTCAGGATATCCCATGTGGTGGGACAGGGGTCAAAGTCCCAATTTCACCTTCCTCCCTCAAATGAGACCTCCATTGATTTTGGGTGGGGGCAGTCTTGCCTGAGCAGGGATTGCAAGGTCAGGCCTGACCCCATCTGATCCAGTTCCGCGATATTTTTGTAGAAATGGCTTTCCTTCAATCCTGAATAGGGTGGGGGTGGTGTGGAGTGATGGACAAGGCAGATGGAGATATGGAAATACCATCGCTTTATTCTAGATCTGATTGTGCCAACAGGTGGGATCCCAGCCCTGCTGTGCACGGTGCTGGACACAAACATGGGCCGGGCGCACACAGGGTTTTATTCCAGTTCTACATACAGGGAATCAATGGCCCCACAGAGAGCCAGTGGTACAGGCAAGACTTTAGCCCAGGCCTCTTGAACACTCAACTACTGCTGTAACCGCCAGGCCTGCCTTCCTCCAGCCTAAAGCCTTCTGCTGAGAAACCGAAACCAACTGTAACCGAAGGCAAAAATGACCGGCCTCCTCGCACTGTTTTCTCCAAGTTTGCTGAAGTGGAGAAAAACTTCTCAGAAAGATCCTGACCACTGGGAGGCAAATCTGTTGTTCTATTTTTAACATTTTCAGCTCTATTACATCCCTCTTTAATACAGCAGGGACCTGCCAATTCGGTAGATTATTGCCCAGGGGTAGGGGAGGAGGGCATGACAGATTAGCTGGTGCTCCAGGCATCCCCGGTGACAAAACGAAGGAGCCTGCATTACAAAATGCACCGGGCTCATTTGTCTTCATTCAGCCTTAATTGGGGATGTGGCCTCTTTACGGCATCCTGGCAGATGGCTTCCTGTGGCGGTGGGGCAGCGCCCGGATTTGAGCATGCGAGTGACCTCCAGAGGCCGCCTCTTGCTTTCCCGAATGCGTATTCCAAATCTTGCTTTCTCAAATGCTGGAATCCATCCAAACAGGGGGGTCCCGGCAAAGCCAGGGGAGTTCAACCTGCCTGAAATGCACACGAGAGGTTCTTCCTGTTATATTTTACTTGGACCGGGGGGCCCAGCTCTGGAGCAGAACCAGTGCTGCCGACACATGGAGCAAGAGACGATCCCCTCACACTCCAGCTTCCCAGGGAATCGGAGCAGGATCTTGACGAGGCTGCTCCAAATCCATCGTCGTCATAACAGCACCTGCGGCTACATCCCTGCGGAACCACGCTGGTGCATGACGGAGGCAGCCTCTTCCCCCAAACCGATCAGGGGAGACAGGATCAGGGAGAGGAAGGGGAGCCAGGAAGCAACCTGCCGGGGGTTGCCGTAGCGCGACAGGGGTGGGTCAGCTTAGACGTCCCCTACTTCTGCAGGGGCGCCTCCAAGCAACAGCTCTTCTCCAGAGCCCAACCCCCGCTCCTCTATTCGTTCGGGAAGCACCAGCCGACTCGGCCCGGCAAGATTTGGTCTCAAATAAGAGCCGCGATACAGCGACGAGCATGGCAGGCCAGGAACCCGAGGCTCCTGCCTTCCTCTGGCATCCTGGGTCTCCCCAGTTTGTCCAACCCCTGCGGCAGCTGGACGGTGGCCACCGCGGCCCCCTGCTTCACCCCGGGCAGGTTCGGGGGCTCTGCCGCGTCTGGGTTAAACAGAGCTTCACTCAGGTGCGAGACAGCGATGTGCAAGGGAGGATTGGGAGAAGGGAGGGGACCCTGCTTCAGGCCAGACCCGTCCAGCTACACTTCCAGGCTGCCTCCTGTGGGGATCGGGGCAGGAGGTGGGCACAGAAACAGGCCTGGTACGGGCTCAGGGGCAGAGCTGTTGCTGCGGCGTGTCCAGAGCCAGGGCCAAGCCATGCCACAGAGTCTAGGTTAGGCTTGGCCATGGGGCCCGAAATAGGCCTGACCAGAGACAGGCCTTGCCACGGGGCCTGAGTTAAGCCAGGCCCAGGATAGGCCGAGCCCGGGTTAGGCCCCACATCCCGCCACCCCTTGGGGATTTCCGGGCTGCCTCCCCGCGGGGCATTGTGGGA